GTGAGAGCGCAGTGATCTTTATAGGTGAGGGGGTGGCATGAGTTAGAGCCTGTTAACACAATAAAACTTTTGTCTGGCCCATAGTGCATGAATATAGTTCCCTCGTGTTTGTGTTGGTTCTGGATAGTTGTTAGCCACTGCTAACTTAACTAGCATTTGGCATTTTTGAATTGGGCCCTAACATGTGGGGTGTCCATACAAATCCCTGTTTATTAGTGGAGGTCCAAACATTTGTGGCAAACTTAAAAATGCTCCAAGTGGTGTAGAATGATTTGTGCGCAGTGACAGTGTAAAGGGAGACGCTACGTTAGAGCCAAACTAACCTTATTTTGTTCCCGTAAGAGCTGAACAGTGGTTAATTTTTATACAAGCACAAACATCCCTTACACTCACTCACCTTAAGTTAGGAGTCCCGGGCTGACCTCTGTGCTCGCAGTAACCTGCTTAGTTTCACTTTGATATCCATCTGTTGGATCAGCACTGTGAACTTGGAGCTTCTGTCAAGCGTTTGAATTTGGGAATTTCTACAGTGTCATACAGCTTGTTCTTGCCGTAGCCTCTTTATCTCGACATTTTCAATTAGGTTTTGTGGAACGCTGACTTGTCTGGCAGCTGCCCATATCAACCACCAAATCCAATGATCTCAACCTTTAGCCAAACAGATATGAGACATTATGCAAGCCAGTGTTTCAAAAGGAGAATTTGTACCTTGGGACAAACATTGTTAAAGCAGAAATACTCACCTGTTGAAAAGGTTTGTGTTCAGAGCAAACATGTGCATCAGGGTTGCATAGTCTTTTTCTATTGGGTCCATCGCTGTTTGAGTTTTGCATCACACCGAATCCTGGCTTTAGTTTGATGCCAGAAGTGGTTCCAGTCCTGTTAGAAGCAGGTTGATACGGAGGTATTGGTGCAGCTCACTGTTCGTTCTGTGCCCGTTGCAGCTCCTGCAGAAATTGTTACAACTGCAAGGGTTGCTTTCCCTTTTTGTTGCCCGGTGGACTAGCCCAGAAAGGCCATAAATGAGGGGTTATAGACTCGTAATTTTATTTCAGCTTTATGAGCTAGTCCGAGGCGGGATATTCTCAGACTGCTGCTGGCACTGCAGCTCCAAGTGTGCTCTGCTAATAGTGAACCCTAGATCATACACGTTCTAGTGGGAGCAGACATGACTCAAGTTCCTCAAGACAGGAAATAGACTCTGCAGAACTTTGCATACTTGACCAGTAGCAGGTGGCGGCGTATTAAGGTGGTGGTGAATAAGTGGTGAACTGATGAGGCTGAGAGAGCAAACATTTAAGGCAAAGGAAGTGAATCTTTTTGGTCGCTTCAACTAAACGTACATGCCAAATCTGATTTAGTTGGATTTTAGGTTGTGCTAATTTAACCATATGTGCGTTGGTAGCCAACACAGTAAACTTTGCTTGTCTGTAACAGCAAGTTGTCTGATACTGAGCAGTCATAGGGCAGCAAACTTCAGGAAGTATTTACACATCATTTTGGGTTAAAAAGTGAATCCATTTTGAAATGTTTATTGTAACAGCTATGTACGTCTGTTGTGCTTATTGTATTCAACAGGGAAGACTTATAACCAACAGGCCGAGAGCCATCGATAAAACCTGCATTATTATGGAAAATGCTAAGAAAAACTGACATGTAAAATAATAACTTTGGTGACTGTCTCCATTCATGTTTCCTCTCTATTAATCAGTCGTACCTGATGTATGGCTAGCTGCGCTGCTAACAAACACAGTCCATCATTTTCAACCCAACTGAAGTTGTTTTTTTCTTTGCCAAAAGAAAAAGTGTTTGCTGGTAGGACTAACCCTGGCCACTGCTTATAGCTATGTGACTAACTCAGATCGCAATATATTGGTTCGTAACCCCTGTATTGTAATATGTACATATTGCCAGATTCTTGCCAATGCGAAGCCCTGCAAAGAACACAAAGGAGCTGCTCTGGCAGATCAGAATAAAAAAAAAGACAATAGTCAGGACTCAGTGAATGAACATTCACTGAAACAGCATGTTGAGCAGCTTGTCATAGAACGATACAGTGTGATTTCAGCTACAAATGGAAACACCCTTGTCTTTTTCTGTAATTTCCTTTTGTGTAACTACAATATTTTGAAAGTTGTGTAGTAGTTGAAATATGCAGTGGTTGTAATTTGTTTTCAACCATTGCACACAGTCCCTATCTTGCTCTGTGCTCATTTCTCTGTAATTGCTGCTTTTCTGAAGTCAATTGGAAGCCTTTGAGCCTTGTTTACACTCTATAGATTGCTTTTTTATACACGCACCTAATCTTGACATTGTTGGGTTACAGTGAAAATGAACCTCTTGTGACGAGGATACACTTGTTGTATCTAGCATACCTCTCTGTGGACCAGCTCGGTGCAAGGACTGAACTGGGTCCAGTTTGTGTTGAGGGTTTCTTTATTTCAGGGGAAATGAGTACTGTGTGTTGGCTGTCTGTGGTCATGAGGCCTGCGTGTCACTCCCAGCATCCTCCTTTTCTGGCTCATTCGTACACTCCTCCCTCAGCTGCAGGATGTCCCGCTTTAACTGGCCAAATGATCCCCACCCTGCCCGACCATTGGCCGACACCGTCTCTGCTCCTGCCTCGATTTGCGCTGTCACACTGTTTGTGTGTGTATTTTCTCAATGTGTGTGTGTGTGTGTGTGTGTGTGTGTGTGTGTTCCTGACACGCCTACAGCTCGTCATCCACCGACGAGATATTGTCACAGGACAGAACATATGGCCACACCAGGCGGCATGTGTGCTGCTTATGAAAACCGTGTCTAAGGAGGCAGTTGGGAGGTGACATCAAGTCCCAGCATGCATTAGCTCTGCTGCAGATGATTCATCACAGTGTACCGAGAGAGTTGGCTAAGTCAAATGTTCTTCCGTGTCATAACAATGCAGACTGATTCATTTTCACCTCTTTTAATAATCATTATGCAGCCGTCTGTTAAGCGCTTCGCAGCTCTGTTGTGTGAAATGGTCTAAATTTAGTTGGTTATTTCAGTTGTGGTATGTCTATCACAGACAGAAACCGTGTGGATATTTGAATTACTTTGTCTGAGGTTGAAGGTCCATTTTGGTCCCATAAAAGGATATTGTTTGTCTACAAGTAGAACTGCCATTAAATTAATCGGCAAATATTTTGATAATTGAGTCATTTTTTTGAAGACAAATTCTCTGATTTCAGCTCTTAAATGTGAACTGTTTCTGGTTTCTTTAGTCCTCTATGACATTAAATGACACCCAGTGGATTTATCAATAATGAAAATAATCGTTAGTTGCAGTTCTATCTACAAGTCTACGTGGTACTGACATTTAGGGCCTGTGTTGCCCAATTGATTGACGCCTACACATGTGAAATAACTACCAGTTTCTGTTTCATCTCAGCTTATCTATCTTATCTTACAGAACTGAGACACGGCGTTCGGTCTGCGGGTTCCAGTGATTTTTGAACGCTAGAACATTTAAGAGCAGGTCGGGGCTCAGGAAGGATGGCTGGTCAACTCCAAACAAAAAGAAAATTAACCTCTTGTCTCTGATGAATTGATATCAGGGCACCACTCCCACATATCCCTAGTTCACAAGGGAGAAGGGATGACTTTAGCATTTCCCTGTGTGTTTTGGGAGCTGGCCTACTTTCTGTTTGTGTATTGTCTCTGTGTCTCTGTGTATCTGTGCTTCTGTTTTAGTTCCCGGCTTGGTAAATGCCCACAGACTGTTGTTTTCTCGGATGCAGCATTTAGTCCAAACTGGACCAGGTTTGGTCTGGTGAAAACCTCGCCTTTATTTAGCATGGGATAATATTTTGTTTTGTGCAGTTTTTATGCTAGATTTACATCCTTTGTATTGGGAGGATAAGTGTATTCTCTGTGCTGGATGAATGCTGCCATTAAGCAGCCTGCAGGGCTTCAGATGGAACTAAGCTGAAAGACGGGCTTGTGGTGGTTACATAAGTCTGCCTTTGTGGTGTGATTGTGCCGCTGTGATGAGCCAGGCCTCGGCCAACAGTGGAAATGGCCTCATTAACTAGAAGCAAATAAGCATTTAACACATCTCACTACTGCGTAACATGCACATATCCACACAATAGGGCAAACAGCTGTAACTAATAGATGTTTCACATACTTAATCTGCCAACTTATTTATTAACAAAGTTTAAATGCGATACACGTTCTTTTAAAAATGTGATGTTCTGTGATTGTTATCATTAATGTAAGGCCTGGCTGAAGTTGTCAGAGTAGGGTGGGTCATGACTTCGCTATCCTGGGTGCAGAGACACCCATAACCCCTGATACCTTGTTTTATACAGTATCAAAGGAATTTCACTGATGAATCGGTTAACTAAAAATAGCGATCCCAGAACTCCCCAAATGTATGATTTGAATGATTTTTGCCTAAAAAGCGAAAAAGATTCCCATTTATTTCCTGTCATTCTGCTAATTGATTAATCTACTATTTGTTTCAGCTTTAGGCTCTTTGTTGGAGAATTTATTTAAAATGTTTATTTTTATTTATATAATATTTAGACAAAGTTAAGATGATCATGTCCTGAAAGTTTTTTTTCCCTTTGCTAAAGTAATTGATTACTAAGTAACTTGGGGATGTTGAAGTTGCATTATTCTCTGTTGGTCCAGCACTACACAGCTCTGTATTAGAGTATTAGTACAGAATTGCTATCACAGTGCACGTAGCACTCAAAATGACACCAGGTCACAAAGGTAGAGGAGAACACGTGCCATTTTATGACTATACACCAGTCTCTAAAGTCATTGTGGCATGGTGTGGCAAAACCTACATTTTCTTTCAACTCTCATAGTTACAGCACAGTAGTTATAGCACAAAAAGACGAATGTCAGCGTGCTGATATGGTTTAGAAAAACTCAAAATAGCTTATTTAAAGAAACAAACAGACAACAAACAATGTAAAAAACATGGACTGACCTCTGTATTTGTCCCTGTCTGTGTCTCTCTGCAGTGGAGGGTGAAGGTCAAGGTCGCATTCTCCAGCGGTTTCCTGAGAAAGACTGGGAGGACAGCCCGTTCCCACAAGGCATAGAGCTGGTAAGTCAACACTTAGAGACATGTTCCAGTGTGGCTCAGTGGCTAGGACAAGGCACTTAACCCAGTCAGGGCTAGGGGTTCAATTCTCTGGGGCAGCTCAGTGGTTAGAGCAGACACTAACTTCCAGCTTTACAGGATTCCTAGTAGGTAATAATGCATTTATCACACTCTGAACTACATGAGAGGTGCTTTTGTGGCTGAATGTAAGAGCATCGGTTATGGATAAGGCAGTCTGGAAGGAAGGTTTCAGCAGTCCTACAGTGCTGTTATTTTGAGTGAAGCTTTTTATGCCTTTAATGAAACCGGTTCTTGTGGTTTGTCAGAGGTATACCCCCTCTAGGCTCAGGTTATTTATAGAGAGAAGAAAATGCATTTTTCTTACACATCAAGTGAGGAAACATTTGAACTTGAGAACCATAAGGGAACAATTTAACCCAGATGGCCTGATAAGAAAGTTGTGACGCACAAGGCTGAAATCTTTATCCACCAGCAGGGTATCTAAGGACTGTCATGTCACATTGTTTGTCCAACACAAGCCAGATCACATAATATTTGGTATGAAAATGCATGCTCCTCTGAGGATAAGTACTATTTTTAATGACCCCTTGACCTTTCCTCAAATGGCACTATTGAGGCAAACTTTTTTCACCATTATGGCTGTAAGAGTAGAAAAATAATCAGAATGTTGCTTGATAAGGCCAGTAACATTGTTATAGCATAGTGTAGTATAACACTGTTGTGAGGTGTAATGGACATTGTATCTAAGGAGTACTAATGGGGCTTAAGACTTAAATCTAGATAAATATATAAAATATTTTACCTGGAAGAAACTCAAATAAATGGATAGCCATTAGGGAATCTAGTGATAGGGAAATGTTTCTTAAATTTGGATGGCTGTCTATGAGATTTATTTTTCACAGAAGGGCCCAAAAAAGGGGCCGCATGTTCAGAAACTCAGCAGGATGGAGAAAGTGACGCCCTGATTATGGCTAAACTGATCCGATTCGTTGGATTGACCCTTTTAAAGGACCCGTGTAGGATTTAGTGGCATCTAGCATTGGGATTGTCTCAATCAAGCGTGTAGGAGAAACTACGGTGGCTGCGGAACTTGCAAAAACGCCAAAGGCCCTGTCTAGAGCGGTGGTCTTACATGGCGGTGGTCTTACATGGCGGCCTTCATAGAGGAGGGTCCACTCCCAGATCTTATTGTCAGGACATTACACACTAATGAAAATAGAGCTATGAACATTATATTCCATTTCTGACATGATGCTCCTAAATGTTACACACTGGACCTTTGAGCTGTGTTATAGCTTAATCTTAATCACATTTGCACAGGGACAAATTTTTCATTTTGGAAATAAGAGCACTGGTATCATGTCCGTACAAGCTATGGGCCAATATCTGAGTTTGGTCATCTCAGTCGGTATTGGGGGAGAAAAGTCAGATGGCGGCGTCCCTAAGATCCCTTTTGAGTGAGCATGGATTCACACATGGGTAAAAAGGTCATCTGGTTATCAGCGTATCCAGTCTGTGAATCCGATGTGAAACGGATCACTGACAATTGCTTCATAAACGTTTTTGGTGTGGATTGACTTAAGATAAAAGAGTCCATAAAATGGCACGTGTAACATGTTAACATATTCCAGTTACAGGCCAACTTCAGATCAAGTCAAGTCAGTGAGGCAACTATATGAATAATGACCATAACATAACAATCTCAACAAAAAACACTGCTAATATTGACTTTCTATTGTTTGTTCACCTCAGTCAACATTGTGACAGTATTGTTTGCTCCATTAGCATTTCATGTTTTGCAAGTAAATATTTGAAAAGGACATACCATAACTTCTTTAAACCAACTACATTGTGATTAGAAATGAGAGCAAAACATACTTCCACGTCTTCTCACATCCTTCAGGCAGAGCTTTGATGGCGTCGACATGTTATTCAACCAGACGGAAAGTTTTCAGAACCTGTTTTGTTGCGTTAATGATAGCCCAACCCAGGATGAATCACCCTAAGGTGCTGTAAGAACACGTGATTACTGCTGTCTGATATGTCATCCAGGATGTATACACTAATCTTTCTCCTTTTTTTGCCCTTTCTTCCCATAACCATCTAATTTCTAACCCATGTTCCTGTTTCCCTCTGGCCCCGCCTCTGCTATCACCTTTTCACCTCTGTCATTTCTTCCTCCACCTCCTCTCTAGTTCTGTCAGCCCAGCGGTTGGCAGCTGGTTCCTGAGCGGCAGCCTGCCTCCTTCTTTGTAGCAGTTTTGACTGACATCAACTCGGAGCGTCACTACTGTGCCTGCTTCACCTTCTGGGAGGGCCTTGACAACTCACAGGTGAGACAGACAGCTATTCAGTGTCTTGGGGATCTGTGTGATCTGTAGTCCCAGCTGGAGGTACAGCAACAATGCAATGATCCCTCACTGGTTTCCCATCTAGATTCCAAGACCGGTGCTGGGTTGTGTGCCTATTTTGGCAAAGCGGTCATGTGACACCCTAGGACCCATAAATACTGTTTTCCTGAATAAAACATCCTGAGCTCTACACATATTAAAAAAGTGCTCTTTGAATTAGCACTGTTTATAATAGGTGCAGTAAATGTGCATTATTTAACATGTTTCTATGTCCTATGGAGGACAGTAGAGTATGTGGATATTATAGGATAGGATACACTTTTAATGTTCCCGTCCATCCTGCAGTTCCACAGAAGATCAAAGATTCATGATTCATGTGTGGGCAGTCGGCCAGACTCAGCCAAAGAAACACACTTTTTTGGAATAAAAATATTGCATCCATTCATGATTTTTTTGCTTTCCAGCCATGAACACTGATAACTGGCTGTAGTGGAACACATGGCCAGGAGGCACTTCCACTGGGGACTGAACTTGAATTGTGCTGCTGCAACACCCATGTGTGACTGTAGTTATATCTGTTCCTCTCTGTTCAGCTGCAGAAGGCCGAAGCCAGCGAGGTGGACGAGGTGGACGAGGTGCCGGCCGTCGTCCAATCAGCTCAGGTCTTCGCCCCCAAGAGCCTGGTGCTGGTGTCCCGACTAGATTACACCGAGGTGTTCAGGGTACGACGCGAACAATACTTCCAAATACACAAACAAAGGCCAAAACACAATAGTGAACAATATCAATATAAATAGCATATAATGAAGGAATAAAAGCTTTATTGCATGATATTGTTTTTTTTTATTTTGATAGCATTTACAGCCTTCACTTTAATTTCCAGTACAGGAAATATTGTGTTATGTTGACCTATGACCTCTGTGTCCTTCCTTCTTGATTGAACAGAACTGTCTGGGTCTGATCTACACCGTCCATGTAGACAGCCTGCCTGTCCCCTTGGAAACGGTGATTGGAAATCTCCTCACTTGTGTCATCCCCATTGCTGGAGGCTCCCAGGTAACTGCTGACCATCCATCTTCATTCTCACACAGACACCCGCACCAACTGCAAAGGCGAAGGTCATGACCTCATACAGACTAGAGCTGCTGCGAGCAGCTTACAGATAAACTGTGACACCATTCTTTAGTTGCTGTTACAACTCTTTGGCTTTGCTGGGTGGTACATACTCTTACTGTACATTACCCCATGCCTTGCTCAGCAGCGCAGCTTATTCAGGCAGTAAGCAGTGTAGAGAAGTAGAGCTTGACGCAGCCTGCTAGTAGAGCACCTTGTTCAGCATGAACAGCTAGCTCTGACTGCTAGCATCGCTAACTTGCATCCATGTTAGCTTGTTACAAGAGAAAAATATAAACTGTTGTTGGAGAGGTTTGGACCCTGTTTTCATGTGTATATGTTTGTGTATAAAAGAGATGATGTTTATGCACAAGCAGAAGTGCTTATAAAGTGCCTGCACATTTCTTTGTGCATGCGTTGAATCATTTATGGATTACTATCTGAGAGAGTCGTGGGGGTTTGAAGTTACATAAATCCTCTTCATAGAGCTGGCTTTACAGCAGCTCCCTAGGGGGCAGTGCCATATACAGCTCAAGCCGTCTTGTAAACACACTTTAGTGTAGATGTTTTAGCATCATTTCAGTTCATTTTTATTGTTGCGGGCTTACTGAGAGACATTAATGTTAAAGCTTTGCCAAACACATAGACGTCTTTGTGGATGATAAGCGCCACTTAACAGATGTAGACTGAATCATCACATTTTGCAAGCGATGTTGGCCATGGAGGAAAACAACAATCCTTCCATTTATAACCAGATAAGCAAAAGAAACATGTTTGTGTTTTCTTTTACATAACATTTTATATCTGAGATACCAACTCAATACTTACAAAGAAGCTTCACTCTTTTTTTTTCATTTGCATATATATATATTTGTAGACCTGCTGGATATGTGGAATAAGCATCAGTGTGTTTCCTTCATGCTAAAGTCCCAGCAGCATTGTGTGAGAGCACATTTGGGTATTTTGAACAACTTTTCATTACATTTTATGGATTTTCTTTTTTATTTCTTTACGATTTCTCTCCACTTTACACATTTTCATATATTTTGTAAGAATCATGTTTTTTTTCTCACCTGCAGAAAATAGTAACTTCTTCAAGTAAACTAAATAAGTGTAATAGGAATGCTATTACACTTATTCATGCCTGTGGTGCACATACAGTGTCCTATTTTGTCTAAATGCACATCAGCTGAACCTTCCCACTGTGGTTTCCCAGATGTTATAACCCATGTGTGTCATCTTTTTGTGCACTTTACTGTACACTGGTTCCTCTGTGTTACAGATAAATGAGTCCCCAGTTTGTAGTTTAGACAAGGTTCCTCAGGCCCTGGCCTGTGACTGGCTGCTGGCCTGTCTCCAGGTAACTTTACCGTTCTGCAAGCTTCACCAATCAACAACCAGCTCAATGTGATTGATTCTGTTAATCAAACAGACCAGAGTTGTTTTCTTTTCTTAAAGGAATGTGTTCTTTCTTGCAGTCATTTCAAATCATGCGTGATTGATGGTGCTTCAGCTATTTTTTACCTGCTTTTTTATGTGTTTTGTGGTCAAACAGTTTATACAGGATCATGTTAATCATTTCAAACATTTCATTTCCTTTTTTTCTTCTATTATGTTTGTCATCAACTTGATTTATTGCAGCAATGAATAATGATTTTGGAACAATGATTATTTTCATGTTGTTTCCTCACTCTTAAAACACATACACCCAAGCACATTCAAACCCGTTGCTGTGCAGGTCGTAGTTCAGTTGCTGGGTGACCATATGGGATGGCAGATGGCCTCCTACCGGGCAGCGCAGTGTCTGAATGAGAGAATCAGATCTAATCAGTATTAACACACATACAGACCCAAACAGCAGAGGCTAATGCGCAGCTCTCCTCACACACTAACACACATCTGAAAACACAAACACAGGCCAAACTCAGTGCTTTTTCACTCTCAGCCACACTGATGGATTCTGACTAAAATGTTATCATTATAGAGATACTTATACTTACAATGAAATGTATAATGTAAGACACACACTGTCTCCCTCAAACACCCTTATAAGCACACAGCTTGTTGAGGCCCTTTATAAATGAGTTTGTGCTGCTTCCATCCAGCCAAGCACAAACAGTTCTGTTCTTCTGACTCAAGAGGAGGACAGGCCACTTGGAAAAGAGTAACACACAAACACACACATTCCTAGAACTGTTTAATCACACAGGACTTTCCCATCAGCTACACCAAATGTCTGTCATTATCACAAGTGTGCCTGTCAACCTCTGCCCAAACACACACAACACAATGGCTCCAGCAACGTGACACTGAAATCATCATCTGCTATCAGACATATTGTCATGGCAACACTGTCACACACCAAACAGATAATCCTCTAACCTTCTGCAAAGCAAGACTTGTATTTAATGTATTTGTGAATATGTGTTTGTGAAAATAGTTAAGCAATTGTGCCAGGTAGATTACCTGTGATATTTGTGTCAGGATATATTAACATTGTATGATAAATGCTCTTGTTGCACAATCAACCAACACTTCTAAGTTTCACACTACTCAAAACAGTTTACTTGGAAGAACCTTGGTAAATTTCTCATAAAATGACCCAATAAGCATTTGTTAGTGACACATTCAAACAGGTTTGGAAATGGTTTTAAATTTCTATACAAAGATGAGCGAGTACACCACTATCTTGTCTGTATCTGTACTTGGAGTGGGCGGGTCCTAAACAGGAAGTGAGTGGGGCCAACTCGAAGTTGCTAATTTAACCCGGAAATTGACATGGGTTGATCAGAAGTTGGTATATTTATTTTAAAAACTCTTCAGAACAGCCACAGAATTGAGCTTAAGGGCAATATTTTTATCACAATGGCAATTTACAGAAGAAGTTTTTTTTTTTATTAAAGTTATATAAGGTATAATATTTATTATTTAATAGAGAACAGATATTGATCTTGATCTTTCATTCTTAGAAAACAGATATTGACGTTGACTCTTTCATTCTGGTGATTATCTACTATTATCTTTACCGGATATTAGTTTCAGCTGAGAAGTCACTGAGCACTAATTTTGATCTCAGTTGATAATTTTCTAAACCCTTCCCCCGAATAGGTCCAGCTGTGTACATGGAGTTATAGTTAAAGTCATACTCCATAAATAAAGCATGAATGTTAGTTTATTTTTTTCCGCTCTACCAAAAAGAGTAAAAGTAGATGGAATGGATAAACGGTGTGTTTGTCTGTTCTAATTTAAGCTCCCAACGTTAGCATGTCCAGCTATCTAGCTTGCTACAGTGGTATCTTAGCACCACTCAGATTCTTATTCCACATTTTGTGTCGCAGTGTTTGTCACACACATTGGTTAGTCCTCGTCCTAAAAGCCTTTTTTTCTTGTAACATTAAAGGTTACAGTAGCATTGTAAACTGCATAATAGGACAGTTTGAGAAAGGAAAGCGTAGCAACAGTAACTAACTGCCACGTAACCCTGGGCTGCCTTTTTTATATGGAGCAAACTGTCAACATCTATCTACAAAAAAGTGCACTAAAGAACAGTTCCAGTGCACTGCTGTGCAGCATGTGAAGTAACTGTACAGATGAACAGTGTATGACATCGTTTGACCTGCAGGATGTTACAACACTTAAGTCATTTATCTGAGTAGTTTACACAACCCTAATATGAAGTGAACTGCAGGCTGTTGGCCTGATGTCAGAAATGGTGAATTATAAAAGCAGAGCAGCGGGGTGATCTTGTGGTTAGGAGGACCATCCTTAACACAGGGAGGTGACAACGTTTAAGGCATCCTTTCTCGTCAAGTCCCCTGAATCCCGGAAAGCTGTACACGACCCTGACCTATGACCTGTGTGTGTGGTAGTGTCAGATTTCCCCATGGTGGGAGGAGACTTTTATTTAGGATGGAAGAAAGTCAAGTGCTCATTTTACCATCCATTAGTGATTGAGCTGTTACTGGAATATGTTTAAATCTGTCTCTTAAATGAATTCATGTGGCAGAGGGAATTCCAGTCCCTGTTTCTGGACACAGTCTGTCACACCGCCAAGAGCTCTGTCAGTTTCATGTAGTAGTAACACATTACAATTTTAAGGCACACGCTTAAAACTGAAAGTTGCGTAAGTAAGTAAGTAATTCTGTGGAAAGTCATTGCCACTTTCTGTTAGTCGTGACACGTTTATTCTCACGTAGGCTGCGAACTTCAGTTTTTCCCTTTTCACCTCTCTGTTATCGCAGTGCCTCTGAGCTTGAGGTTGGCAGGTGATGTCAGTACAGGAACTCTGCTGATTCCAGCATCGGTTGAGTACCTTTTATGGTTTAAAAACGGGTATGTGGTGTTGGAACCTGTGGTCAGATGTTTTCACTTTTGAAACAAAGATATCTCAGCTTTGGGAATCCCCGTACCATGCCAGTGTTAGTGTTACAGTGTAAATCCAAAACCATGTGAGGATGTAGGAGGTTATTTAATAGCTTCTGATAGATCCCCGTTTGAACTTCTCGTCCCTCACAAGACAAAGGCAAACACAGTCCTCAATGAGGCTCCTCCTCTGTACCTTTTATAGTGTGTGTGTGTGTGT